CCTTTGCACCGTGGATCTGCTGAGCCTGGGGTGCAGGGCAGTGGCCGTGACCCTCCCTCACCATATCTGCAGCTTTCATCAAATACAAAGATGGTAGGCAGGACACGTATGGCTGGGCTGGAGAAAGCAGTGATTTCTTGGGTAGTGCACCCCTGGATAATGATCGCTGGGCCTATGAACCCCCATGCAGTAAGGCACCCAAAGCACTGCTCTAGAGCGGGCAGGCATGAGCCTGCTGGTGGCTTTGCAGCTCCTGCGATTGGGCTGCTCTTCAGTGGTGCTGTCTTTCCCTGTTCTTGTTTTTTGGTAGGTTTTTATTTTCCATCTTGTAGCTCATCTTTTACATCAGCGTTTTTCCTCCTGCAGCCTTCAGTGGCTCTCCTGTAATACTAAGCTGCAACTCTGAGGCTTGAGCCAAAGTTATGCTGCTGGGCTGCGTCCAGGCCTCCCCTTCCAGAAGCTTGTGCTGGGCAGGGGTTGAGCAGGGCTGGCAGAGCTGGTGCAGCTCTTCTCTGCTCTTTTCCTGCCCTGTGATGCACAGCAGCACCCTCGCAAAGGTGCAGCCTGGGGAAGCCCTTCCCAGGCGCTGCTGAGGCTTTCCCTCTTCCCCAAGCCCCTGGCCCAGGGAGGGGGCCCAGCCCCTGGGTGCCAGCAAGGGACAGGTGGCCTCAACAGGAGGGGATGGCAGTACTGGGGATGAGCTACCTTAAGCAACAGAAAGGCTCCTTCCACCTTTGCCTAACACCCAGCACCTCCTAAACAGGAGGAGGAAAAGCCAAAGCACTGTTTTCAGGTTAATTCTTTAATTGAGGTAATTAAGAGGAAGTCACTGTAGCAGAGCTCCAGGTGCTCCAGGCCATAACCCCCACATGGCTGCAGTGTCTGTGCCTGCTCCCTTCCCTCCGGCAGCCCCTCACCTCTGGGGCTTCATCCCTGCATGGCTTGCAGCAGACACAAGTCTGCTTAGATTAAGGTTAAATTAAGGCAAAAAAGTCTGCACAAGATGGAGATAAAATGTGGGAAGGGGAGTCTAGGGAGAGGAGAAATCAAATCTCCATCCTCAGAGATGTTCAGAGCTCAGATGGACCCAGCCTTGAGCTGAGCTTGGCTTTGCGTTGGATCAGACTTCCTAGAGTCCCTGCCCCCGTCAGTCGTCTGCCGTTGTGTGTCGGTATCACTGCAGGGGGGTCCCATCCCCAGGGTTGGGCCGGGGGGACAGGAGGCAGCTTGAGGAGTTGCCACTACTGCTGCTGGGCCATATGGACCTGCACAGCTTTCCACAGTGCCCGTATATTGGCTTCCCCGAAGCCCGGGGCCCCCCGCCGGTCAATGAGCTCCAGGAAGAAGGTCTCCTCGGGGAAGATGGGATGGGTGAAGATCTGCATTAAATATTTCTTCTGTGAGGGGGAGCTCTGTGAAGTGTCTGCACCCAGCCAGCCTTCCTCACCATCCCCAGGCACCGCAGCATCCAGCAGGATGCCCAGTTCTGCCAGTGCACGGGGGTCTTGCCCAGCCCCCCGGATCTCTTCCTCTTTGCCCCCCTGGCTGTAATAGGTGGCAGGGGGCATGAAGAACCGCACGCCGGCCTGCTTCAAGGCCCTGGTTGTGTTGACGATGTCTGGGGTGCAGAGGGCGATGTGCTGGATCCCAGCTCCTCTGTGCTGCTCCAGGAAGGTATCGACTTGGTTCGTGCCGCCCTCTGAGAGGGACTCAACGAGGATGAGTTTGCAGTTGTGGGGTGGCAGGGCTGCGGTGCCCTTGGCACTCTGCAGTGCCAGGAGGAGCATGCCGACCCCCTGCCCGCTGATTGTGTACCCCTCAGACAGGGTCTCCTGCGGGTTCAGCTGGAAGCGCTGGAATCCGAAGCATTGCTGGTACCAGCGCAGAGCCGCCCTGGCGCTGCCCCGTGAGCAGACGCACGTGATGTGGTCGAAGTGGGTGATTTCAATCTGATCCTCAACATCTAGGGGGGTTCCTGGGATTGCCTGGAAGCCAGGCAGGAAGGGCCCCCGGTAGCGGGATCGGTCGAGCAGGGTATGGCTGATGTTGCCCACGACGGAGCTCACCACCCCGTAGGTGACGGAGCCGCTGTCGTCGCTCACCTTGGTGGGGGGCACCCACAGGGAGCACCCCCGGCTCCGCAGCCGCTCGCAGAGCCCAGGCCCGTCGTCCACCTCGAAGCAGATG